CCATTAATGCGCCCTTGTGTCCGCGCCTCTTTATCCATGTGTATCCATGTGTGTATGTTAAGCAAGTGCTCGCACCCCGTGAATTCAAGGGTGTCAGCGCTTGGACGCCGCGGGAGCTGCCCGGTTGAAGCCGGGGGCGGTCTGCGCCGCGTTCCACCGCGGTGCCCCGCGAGGTGGCGGGGCCGGCGGGGAGCGGCGGGGCCCGCGCTCCGCCTGGCGGCAGCGGCGCGCGGGGCCCGCTCCGCTCCGAGCCCTCGGGCTGCTCTCGGAGCCGGTAGCTCCGTGCCCCGGCTTGGGGGCAGCCCCGCGGGCCCGACGCCCGTGGATGATGAGGGTGATGGCAGCGGTGAAGGCCCCGCTGCTGGGCGCTTGTTGTGTTGGCCTTTAGAAAGGGAGTGTGAGGAGTCAACAAAGGCTTCTGCTTATGTCCAAACTCTGCTTAACAGCCCAGGAAAGCGCTCGGTGCTGCAGTCCGGCCTCAGATAACAACACTGCGACCAAGGAGAGGTTCAGCTGCCCCAGCGAAGGCACCTAGAAGTCAGGCCACCTTCCAGGGTTGGAGATGCCTGCGTGACTCAGGGACTTCCTCAGGGCTYGCAGCCGTGTGTGTGACCCGGACAGGTAGGACACGGCACCCAGGGAAGGGCTGCAGCCTCTGGAGCAGCAGCCAAGAGACAGGCAGGTCAACTTTGCATACCTTGGTGTAGGCAGCTGAGTGACACCCCGTCTGCCCCTCATTACATCGGTTAGTTCTGAGGTAACCAAAGGGTGGAAGTTCGTGTTTCCACTTCGATTTCTATGCTAGTTTGCTAAGTCTTGGGTCACTGCTTCCTGACTTTTGCTTAAAACGTGTGGGAGTTTGTGGGGACCTGCTGGCTGAAGCCTCTTTAAATCCAGAGCTGATTTTCTCCAAGATCAGTTGCACTTGCCCAGTATGTTGAGCTGAAGATGCTGTGTAAAAGACTCCTCATGGTGTGTTTTCCTTCTGGCTGGACCTGTTATGAAGCAGTCAACTGACAGCTGTCTGACTGGTACAGGTGATGTGTACAGTCTTCACATATATCTTTCAGAAACAGATCTGCTTCACTCCAAAGAGTGAACTCACCCTATGCATTACTCTCTATTTTTACTTTGTGCATCCCCACCTCACGAGAATCTAAGACATGTCCCTCTCATGCTTTCCTGTAAAGTGATTTGTGACTTCACGGAGAAGATGAGACCTGCATGGGCAAGACATGGCAGTCTCTGTAAAGCTGTGGACCTCTGTACACTGTAGTGTGACAAAGACAACTGGGCAGACAAAGTGTTTAGGAACAAATCCCTAATTTGAAGAGCATGTTCATGTATGAACTTGCTGAACAAGCCTGCAAATCAGGTGAATCATTGTGATCTGGGGTAGTCTGTTATRTGTGCTTAAGGGGAACAGAGACCTCTTTTCAGATGCTCTTGAGAGTTTTTTGTTTGTTTGTTTCTTTCCCCACAGATACCTTTACTTACATTTTTATCTTGTTCTCCTTTTCTTGGCCAAGACAAAAATAGAAATAAAAACATGKTTTTTTCCATGAGATTCTGTGATGCCACCTGCCAGTAACCGCTAGCTCCAGCAATAAATTTTATAGTTTGAAGTCTCTCTAAAACAAGCAAAAAAGAATAGGATATAAGCAAATGCTCTTAGTAAGTTCTGTCTTGGAACAGTCTCTGAAGGGAGATAGGAGACAGTTGCTAAGAAGTGCATGATGATTAATAATCTCTTACAGGGAGATGCGCTGRATAACCCTATGGAGCTTCTCTGCCTCTACTCTTTATATTTCTGAAGTCATATAAATGGGTTATTTCAGAAGCCACATTCCTTTTCTGAAGCAGCTTCATTAGAAATTTGTCGCTAGTGAGATTTACTTTTTGTATGTTATGTACACTGCATGTCGGTGTGGTTAAGCTCAAATTAACTTTGAAAAAGCAACCGTAGGAACTGTCAGAAGTCTTGTGGTGGTGGGAAGGGTCTTGGTGCCAAGGAGTTTGTTTAGCAAAGATGCATTTCAGATGGTCAAGGTCTGTGCAAACAYTGAGCAATGTGGCTAAGAGGTCAGGGTTCAAGCTTTTATGGCCAAGCATGTAGCATCTCAAACCTTCYTTCTCCTTGGTGCTGCTTTCATTCTGGTTCTTCTTAAAGATTTCCAGCACTATAGATAGTGGGTTTGTGTTTTGATAATGGCAACAGTGCAGCAGTCACAAGGAACATATAATTACAGCGYGTTTTCGATATAATTTTACTAACACTCAAAAAACCCACATTTTGTGCCAAATGTCACATTCACTTGAAAGTTCTAAGTCTGAAACAGGCCACTAGGAGRGCACTTTATTTCTAACTCGAGCATTAGGTGAAGCACTGAATAACTAAGAACTTAAGATGATAGGAGTATCATGGCAGCTACCTCATACATTTTTGGTTTTTTTACCCCCCCGTTCTGCTCTGGAGACGCTGTMTAAGGAGTGAGTTTGTGAATAAAAGAGTGGAGCTGAGAAAATTGAGGAAAATAAAAGTCTAGCATCTTTATGAAGTGTGGAGGAGGAAAYCTCTTTACAAAAGTGACTCTATTAACTTCTCTTTTTCCAGATCATCAACATGGAAGGTGACAACACCAGTCAAGACTGTTTGAAAGTCTGTAAAATGAAGAAGAAGGTATTGAGGAAGCAGGTCAGAGCCCAGCACACACTGATGAGGCATGAGGGCATTGAGTGCGTCTCCCATGCCACACAGGTGATTTGCATGATTTTTATGAACATGTGAAAACACTGCTTAGCTGTGTCCTAACACCCCTTCTTTTTCCTGCAGTGCAGTTCTTCTCAAGAAAGCCCTTCTTGAGACTGGGGATTGGCTGTACCTCTGAAGCAGGGCTGTATTTCAGCCTCGAATGTCTGTGGAGAGACCTTGCTGGTCTTTCAACGAAGTTTCTTAATCCGAAACAATAGTTTGGTTTGGGAAGGATGATCAAGCATGGAAAATAAACTTACCGTTCCCCTATGATTTCTTCCTCTCTGGCTTTTAGCTTTTTATCTTTTTGCTATATATCTTTTTCATCGAATAAAATGTCTCATCTACACACTCTCTTAAAAACATGTCTGTCTCAAAAACGTTCCTACATTGTTTTCTTCTTGTAAGTTGGTTTAGGCTGTGATTCTGTGGGAGTTGAACTGATTGACTAATTTGCAGCTGTTGATAAGGGAGGAACATTCTCTTCCCTTAAGGGGACAAGAGAAGACTTTTTTTGTCTTCATTATGACACTCAGGGAAATTTTCTATAATCTACATTATCCTGTAGCTTAACAGAAAACTACCCAATTTTTGAGCTGTTAGTTTTCTGTCACTGTAGAGAATTACAGCAGATAGAGAGGTACCTGGTATCTGGTACTTGCAGTCAGGAGCAAAGGAAAGGAGGAGGATATTAGGGAGTTTGATTTCTTTGTGTTAGCTGTGGGGAGATGCTAAGATGACTTGAAACATGTTATAGTACTGTATMATTTACTCTGTTCATCTTGATCTAGCAAATATTTCTCATTCAAATACAGAAATGTATTAAATCTTAATCCTTCGTCTGAACAAAATTGGACTTTTTCTTTAATTCTCATATGCTCATACCATGTGAGCATATGCTAAAATGATCCAGCAGTCTTGAATATATTCTAAGCCATTTGGAGGGGTTTTTTTTTGGTTTGTTTATTTGTTTTGTTTTTTTTTTCCCCACTGCTCTCTTCCATTATTGCTTGCTTGATAACAATACTCAGTAACATAGTTATCTTTGAAACATTTAATCAGTAATGGGCAGTCCAATGCTGCTCTAATAAGTAAGTGTTGACTGAACCACCACAACAGGCAATGTTGGCAGTGACTGAGGTATGCTCACTTTAGAAAAAAAAATACTGTCATGTTTTTCTTTATTAAATCCCTCACTTCAATTTTTAAAACTGATTTTTTTTTTTTTTTTGAATTTTAGAGAGTGCAGTGCAATTGTTTGGAACAATTGAATGTTTGGAACATTTTACCAGCTGCTTTTGGGAAAGGTCACAGAATTTGTAGACTTTAAGGAGAAGATTGTCTGAAAGTCTTCTGGAAAGGTGTTACATGGAGGCAATCTGAGTAATTGTTGCTAGCTGGGTGGAGTCACTAAAGCTCAATCATAACTTCAAGACTACATCCTCTTTTGCCTTTAACATGGGACTTAAGCTTCTCTATCCTCTATGGTTAGACTGAACATTTCATTATGGCGCATAACTATTCACATGTCTAAAGAACATTCTAATTTTATTTAAAATGGGACTATGTTTTCTTAAAATTATATTTCTTAAATAGTTTTTTAAAGAAATTAAATCACTTTTGTGTGTGTGTTTTTTTTTTCTAGCATTTAGTGAACCAGCAATGATGATTACAAACTGTCACTGAAAATTCTGATCATAAATCACCATGAAAGGCTAAAATAAAGCATTTGTGCCTTGTACTCCAASTAATCTGTATTAACTAAGAATAGGACCCGGATCTATCTTGTGTATAAAATCAAAAGGGAGAAATTTTGGATAAGAGTGTTAAATAGAGCTAGATCTCTATTTATACACTCTGCTTCCGTATTTATGAGGGACATGGATTGGGCATGAGAAAACCAATCCATGTGCTTGGAAAGATTCTTTGGAATAGGGAGAAAATAAAAGTGCTTTCCTTAACAACAACAAAAATCACAGTCTTGGGAAGTTTTTTCTGTTTGCTTTGTTATTAGTTACAAGTYTCTGGAAAAGTTAATTTTTAAGAGTCTCAAATGATACCTGCTAGTGTCACTTTTTATCTGCAGGACACCGGAGGGGGCTCATGAGCCAATTCCAAGTTTSAGTGGCCTTGCAGTGGAATGCAAGAATTGAGGCTCAACCTCTGCTGGAGATTAAAGCCTTTAGGCAGCAGTGTGTGCTGGACAAACATAGGTTGCCTGTGCTGTAGCCTCAGATCCCAGGCTACTTGAGATGCAAATATTTTGTGTGGACTGTACAGAAGAGTATTCATGGACTCACCTTTGTAGACCTGCCGTATTGTTAGAGTGCTTATTTTGGCTTAATCAACAATAATTACTAACTCGTTTTTCTTTATTTCTGTTTAATTAGAGTTTGGTTGTTGCCAATGCTGGTCTTGGTAATGGGATGAGCAGACACCAACTATTCAAAATAGTGGAAGAGTATGGGTTGGTGGAAACCCTCTTAATGCCACCGAATAAACCATATTCATTCGTGAAATACGAGACCACAGCAGAAACCAAGAAAGCCTTTGATGCCCTCAATGGTAAAGAAGTTACATTGGAAGACTCCAGCCAAAATATTGTTCTATATGTTAATTTTGTGGAAAAAGGTATTGTTCTGCATGTTTGTAAAATGTATCGCCTATTTGCTTTTGCCTTAAAAAAAAAAAAAAAAGATCTTTTTTAAGTAGAGACAGAAAACTAAAGCTAAACACCAAAACACGCCACAAAATATATCCTTTTCTTCTATATTTAATAGCAAGATGCTCTCATTTAGACCTGTTTAGACTTAGAGGCAGGAGAGGTGGTTACTTAGGTAGTTTCCAGACCATTCAGTGCTGCACTTAAAGTTTTTGTGATTAGGAAGCTAAGTTAGGATCCAGGACATCTCAGGATAGTTCACTGGCCCACTGTGACCTTGGCCTTCTGATCTGTTTCTCATCCCCCAAAGACAGAAAATAGGTGCAGTGAGAGGCACAGTGAGATTTCTGTGTGTTTGTTTTGATTCCCCTTGAACCTCTTTTTTTTCTGACTGACTGTGAACTATTTAGAACAGGAACATTTTTCTATGTTCTATACAAACTSTCTTCCTGAGGGTTTGTATAGTGTCTAGTGAAAAGGTTTGGTCTGTACATTATGTCAGTGAATAGATATATTTAACTATAAAAGAAATGTTAGGACAGCTACCTGAAGACCCCTGTGACACCAACACTTTTTGTTTAGATAGATAGAGAATTATGGTCTTTCATATTGATCACAAGTTGCTTCTTTGGGCATCAAATACAAGAAATAATAGAAAATATAAAGCTTATTTTTGCTGTTAATAGTAGTTGGAACATTAGAATTTCATTGGTACTCTTTGCTTGACAAATTACAAGCAGAGATGAATTGCCAAGGTGTAAATTTTAACTGGAATTTAAGTGCTAGTTAGAGTGAAATGCTAGTAGAGTCTCTCCTGAAATCATTGGAAAATTTGTAATCATTATTTTGACATAAAAACAGTTTTACATTTGGGAAGCATAGAGTACTATTGATCATATGCAGTAAAATTTAAAAAGTGTTTTGCTTGATGTAGAATTTGGGCTGCTTGATCATGTAAAAAGGGGATCATTCATTCAGCAGATTAGAAACCAATCAAGGCTCTGCTGCATTATTAAAGCAAATATTCTTGCAGGTATGCTGTCAACATTCCTATATCCATAGTGTATAAGGAATGCTGGGTTTGTTTTCCCCGAACAGTGACAACGTTGTCTTTTTCCATACATCCTAGTTTCTTGGAAAAATGTGGTGCCTACAAGCTTGCCTCCAGGCCTAACAGTGGTTGAAAATGTTATTTCTCCTGAGGAAGAAAGGCGGATGTTGGAAAGCATTGACTGGATGGAAGATAAAGATACTSAAAAAAGTGAGCCAAACCGAAGAAATACAGAACTTTATATGTATTTTCATGCTSGTATTTTGTGTGTTTTCAGTTTACAAAGAGTCTATTCTTCGTAGTCTTTTCATATTGGAAAATGTGATGTTATGTATTTGTTTTTCATATTTTAAAATCTGGATCTTTTATTGTAAGTGATCAGCTATGAGGGGTAAGTGATCTAAAGTGATACCTGAAATGGTTTTACTTAAATAAGATTCCTCYATCCACAGACAATTCAAGTCCTGTTCTGACAGTTCATTCCAGCCTCAAGACTTAAGGTTTAGGCTGCTAAGGTTGTAATCTGATGTCCTACTTGGGAGCTGTCTTCTGTTAAACCAAAAAAGAAGTCAATGAAATCCTCTTTTCTAGATGCTTTTTTCCTTTCACTTGGGCTCTGTGGAATTGCATTGAATAATAAAACAAGTTGCTTATGGACTCCAAAGTTCCTATATAAAGATTGTTCTTTGGAACAATAAAAAAGGYTATATTGACCTTTTTTAACACGTAACTTAGTGAACGTGAAGGATCCTGCTGCATTCCCAAGATAGTGAAGTGCTAATCCAGAGGTCAGGGCAAGAATAAAGATGGATCAGTGAAATTGATACTCCCCAAGGGTGCTTCCTTCCGGTGCGCAGCAGAGGCAGTTTGACTTCAAACTGTAGTGCATGTGATGCCTTGATGCCTTGTTGCCTTCTGCACTTGCAGAAGAAGTGTGTCCATCAAGGACAAGGATCCTGCGTTGTTTCAGTGACTGATTAAAGACTCTTTAGTGTTAACAGAGGTAAGGTGGAGTAGGGGAGCAGTGAATTGTTTGAACTATTTGTATGGTTTAATTTTTTTTTAACTTTTGTGATTTTAGCCCAGAAGACTTTAAAACATAGAAGAGTAAAGCATTTTGGATATGAATTTTGCTATGATAGCAACAACATTGATAAAAATAAACCTTTACCTGGAGGTGAGAAACTAATATTTATCTTAGCCTGATATTTGAACTGTTACATAAAGCTTTCAGTTTCACTGAGGCATAGATGGGAGATTCTAGTTAGAGAGCCTTCACTGGATCACTATAATAAGCAGTGCTCCAGAGKGGGATGTGTTTATGTAATCAGTGCAAATGCTTGAAGCTGCTTTTTAGTCACTTCCACGGGGTTGCTGTCCTTTTTTGAGCTCTAGTCGAATACGACTTTGGGGATTGTTACTGTCATTCTTTATTTTTGTTTCATAAAGCCATTGCATGTTACAAATTGCATATTAATTTGAGGAGTGGGGGGTGCTGTGACGTATTTGACTGTATATATTTATCTTGACTAGCTTGAAGCTTGCTGGATGCATACCAAAAAAAATTTCTTTGGGACTGAAAGCAGTCTTTAAAAGACTTGAGTAACTCATTTGGAGTTGAAAGCTCTGAGTCAGAGGAATGCAAGTGAGTCATCTTATAGTCTTAGATATAAAATTAGTGAAATGGGGGATTAAGTTCCAATAAAACTTATATTTAAGGGTTTAAGGTGATGCATATGTGCAGTGGCAGATGTAGCTTCCAACAGATGGGCTCTAGTTGCACTAGAGTTAGAGCAGTGAAGCTAATAGAATATAACAGCCTAATACAATCATAAGAGCACTGATATTTGAGCTATTTTCTTGAGCTGTTTTCTGGTCTTACAGATGAAATATATTGTGTGCAAGGGGAACATAACTGGGGGAAACACTTCATTGAGGAAAACAAAAAAGAAATGAGTAGATTTGTTAACAGGTTGTTTCTAACATGTTTGTGGGGGATACATGGGATAGAATTTTGCGGTTGAATCATCAGGTATATTAGCAAACTAAAAATTAAGTGCTGGACTGTAAATTTCATTTTCTGTTTTGAAAATAACAGAATTAATTTCAGTTGATTTATGGAAATATTTAATCCAGCATCTAATTCAGGAGCAGAGTTTTAGGGTGTACATTTTTTTAGAGAGGTCCCAACACAACTTCTGACTTCCTGTATAATAATTCTGCTTCTTGACTGCTACTCCCATATTGCTGTGGAAATTTTGGTGATTAGTGGAAAYTTTGCTTCTGATTTGCTAAGTGCTTGTTTATATGCGGATAGAATGCAGTTTGCCTTTGCAAACAGTGGCTCTAGTTTGCTTGTGAATGTGGAGGGCTTGGTTGAATGGCCTTTCTAAATGTGAGATTCTATAAATATGTCCGACTTGCAGATCACATGTACAGTTTTGATGCAAATTTTATAGGAAATGCAGAGTGATTTTTATTAAAGATGGCTTCACATACATCTGAGGCTGTTCCTATGTATTTTGTCCAAATATTATATTTATGCTAAATAGAAAGTGCAAGAAACTGTCTTGCTTACATTTTCTTTTCTAAAACTAGGTCTCCCTGAAATTTGCAACCTATTCTTGGAGAAGTGCTTGAAGCAGGGATATATCAAACATAAGTCTGATCAACTGACTGTAAATCAGTATGAACCTGGGCAAGGTAAGTGTTTTTATCCTTTAAAAATAAAACAAAAGAGAATACTATCTAGGTGGGTCCTGGTGCAGGGACAGGATTTAAGYACTTGCTTAATATGTTGCCTTTGTGACCAGAGATGCTTTGATGAATGGAAACTAAAGGCATTGTACTGTCTTCRGAATTGGGAACTTGTGCAGTTTTGATAATGCTGTTATGGAAATTGATGGAGCTGAAGAATTCTGAGCCATAACAACGAATCTAAACACAAAAAAAGATGCAGAAATAAATAGTCATATTTGGCTTTGCACCAAAGTGCATTTTTCTCGGTTACATTTCCAGACTCTCCTGTTCTCTGTGCTTTACATAGAGTCTCCAAGAAGCAGCTCTAGCTGTCTTGCTAGCATGTATTATGTAGTGTTAGTATTTCTTATACAAGCAGTATTTCCTTATCTGAGGAATAAGAAATTACTCTGTTCCAGCATCTTTCCCAAACTGAAGATATCTGAAGAGAAATTTGCTTCCAACTAGATCTTAGGGGAACAAATAATACACTGCTTTTTGCTAAGGTCAGTCATAAGTCGTATCTGTTTTCCATTTGCTACAGAATATCTAGTTTGTCTTTAGGAAGAAAAGACAACAACTTTTCTTTCAGAATGAATGTCTGACAGTTCAGAGTCTGGCAAACACAGGGGTCTGAAAACCTGTTCCCAATTGTTTATATATGACAGTCTGATAAAGTGCTGCAGTCACATACTGGAACAACTGAGGAGATAAGTTAAAACTCCGGATTTCTATCAGAAGTAGGAAGAGTGATTTTTTTTTTTTTAAAAGACAGAAGGCAATACAGATTCACAGATTCACAGAATATTTAAGGTTGGAAGGGACCTCTACAGATCATCTAGTCCAACCTTCCTGCTCAAGCAGGCACACCTASAGCATGTGGCACAGGGTGGCATCCAGGCGGGTTTTGAAGACCTCCAGAGTAGGAGACTCCACAACCTCCCTGGGCAGCCTGTTCCACTGCTCTGTCACCCTCACAGTAAAGAAGTTGCTCCTCACCTGGAGACGGAACTTCTTATGCTTCAGCTTGTGGCCATTACCCCTCGTCCTATCCCTGGCCACCAGTGAAAACAGTGAAAACAATACCTTTAAGTACAAAATGCTACGACACGAATTAATATTGTGTACCGTCAGATTAATACCCATAGTATCTGTGTTATGAGCTGGATTTTGTCACTGGACATAAAATTTAGGTCTTTTAAAAGTGGCTGATTATTTCAGGTATCTGACTTAACCTGCAGATGAAGGCAGAATTTCTGCTTTAGACYGAAACAGAGTTACAAGCAAGCAGAAATACATGACCTTGGATCAGTTCTCAAATCTGACCAGTTTTCAGTTGGACTGAATGTTGACCTCCAAATATTTGTGTCAATCACTGAAACTAATGGAACTCATCCATCAGAATATTCTATGTCTGGAGGAGAAATCTGGCATATTATAAGGAGGCTTTTTACAGCTCCTTGACACTGGTAGGAAGATTTGTTTTAACTCAGAAAATTTGATAGCATACAAAATGAATGTGGACAGATATTTTAATAAGCAAACATAAATGTATTTGCTTAGGTCAAATAGGAGCTACTCTTTATCTATCTGAGAAAGATTCTCCTGAACTGTCTGTAGGCCTTGCTCTGTGGCTGAGGACAGCTTCCCACAACATGCTGTGATCTTGAGATGGCCTCCAGACTGTTACTTTAGCACTCAGTAGTCAAGTATGTGGCACAGGCTCCAGACCGTGTATATGGTTACTCATCCGTCAACAGACGTAGAGTTGAGAASTTAGTCTAGTGCTGGTGTGTGGAGTTCTCTTAGGCCCTACAAAGGAGAGGCTAAGTTTTACCCCCTGTGTTTGTTAGTAGTGAAAGGGTCTTCATTGTGCAGGTGAGAACCTTAGCAGAGTCACCGAATCACAGGAGGGTTGAGGTTGGAAGGGACCTCTAGTCTAGAGGTACAGTCCATACCCTCTGCTCAAGCAGGGTCACCCAGAGCATGGGGCACAAGGTGGCAGTCAGGCTGGTTTGGAAAACCTTCCAGAGGAGGCCATTTGAAGACCTTCCGGAGGAAGAGATTTGAAGACCTTCCTTAGCAATGCAAAGACCATTTGGGATGACGACTCCTCCTCTGGGAAGTGATTGAGAGAAAAATACATGGTCATAGATGAACTGAAGCCCCAAATCATTTAGTGTAACTGTYGATTGTAAGGTGCCTGAGAAGAGAACGTAGCTGTCTCGGAGGCTGCCTGCATTAAAGAGAGCCTTGGGTGTCTTCAGAGGATGAATGAGGCATTTGGGTGCCAAAGGAGAATATTTAGAAACCAGAAAAGAAGGAATAAGTATTTAGAAGCCAACCTGGTTTCTAAATACTTTTTCCTAGTTTTCTGGTTTCTATTTTTTTTCTTTCTGGTTTTCTTTCTGGTTTTCTTTCTGGTTTTCTTTCTGGTTTTCTTTCTGGTTTCCTATTTCTTATTTAGAAATCAAGTTGGTTTCTAAATACACTTATTTTTCTGCATTGATTATAGAAGATTCTTGGGTTAACTGCACATCTAATCTGCCTATGATAAACTAGTCTGGTCCTAAATTCTTTTGGAAGGTAGTGCTGTCCTTTGTGCTAAATTTTGTTCTTTTTAACATAGGCTGTACTTTTTTATGTGCAGATCTGTAGGAATAAAGATTGCAAAGAGATATTACTCTTATAATGACTTTTTTTCTTGGCATTTCTTACACAGGAATTCCTCCTCATATTGATACTCATTCTGCTTTTGAGGATGAAATAATCTCTTTGAGTTTAGGAGCCAAGGTAAATGTAATGTTTGTGTATTACTTTGGCGATGCTTTACTGTGAACTTTAWTTTTTTTATAGTGTTTAATGCATTTTAATTTGCTTTTCCATGATATCTGACCACATGCATCTAAGTTCAATATCAGGCAGTTAAGGAAATGTGATAAGCTGAGTAAATAAGCAACTGCAATGAAATGCTGATTTTACTATAAGATTTGCCAGTGATACCAGTGGTGCCGGAATAATCCTGTTTTTGAAGTCCTAGCATCCAGTTCTTCATTGACTTCTTTTAATTTTGGTTATGTATTAGAATATTGCTCCTGCTGGTGTTTCTCATTCCATTTTCCGCTATGTTCCAATGTGTTTTGATGAGCTCCTGTGTTTCATCCCTTGTTCCCTCTGGTCTGTCTCAAGCCTGCCACAATATTTGCATTGAGTACGTTTGCCCACATGTAGGCGTGTTCCATAGGGAGGCTGCAGTCGAAGCCTGAAGCCTGCGTGAGCTTACAGCCCATGCAGATGATTCAGTCTAAGAGTGGGAAGGAAAATGGAATAAAAGCAAAGTGAACTAGCATGAACTCATGTAACAGGTCAGGAATAGGACGAAGAATGGAATTCCCATCATCTGTCTCCTGCTCCTCTAACTAGTCTATGCTTTCCCTTTAGAGTCTTCTATGGCATCTGTGCCTGCTCTGCTTTGCAGATTTACCTCTTACTTGGCCTTCCTATCTTCCTRCTTTTTTTTCCTGAAAGTACTTGTATTCTGCACTTACACATAGCAGTGAAGGCAGCAGTGTATGTGTATGTGTGTCGTGTATGTGTGTGATGGGGCTGCTGTACTGCTGCATATTTGTCTGGTGGTAGAGAGCTAGAGGTCTTAGCAAGCTAACAGGAGTTAGAACAATGGATAATAAGTTTGACTTTTGAAGTATTGAATTATGCTCATATGGAGCTGCAACTCCATATGAGAACAATCCAATCTGTTGTTTGTTTGTCTTGGCACTGGTGTACAAAGGACAGAAGTGTTACTGCATATGGAATTGTATCTTTATACTGATAGTCCGAGCTCTCTTGTAACAACACAGCAGATTTGATTGTTGCCTTGGGTTTGCATTGCTGTCCTAGGTTGGGAGAGGAGCATGACTGGATGTTCTCACCACTAGCTTCTTGAATTGTCAACTTCTTTCCCTTTTGCAGGTGGTTTAGTCAGTGTGGGATAGGAGTGAGTCTAAGGAGCAGCAGGCTTCCCGTTTACGTGTGCAGCAGTGGCACCTCTGTATTTTTTGTTAGTTGAAAGGCGGGGTCAGGGCAGCCATGTAGCCCTCTGAGCCAGAGCGTGTTCATCAAACCACAGCGACACTCCAGATGGATYCTGCTAGGAACAGGAACGTGGGGATTAGTTGTGTTTTGGAATGACCCCATGTAGTGGTGACTTCCCTAGACTCTTGCAGTGCTTAGTATTGTTCCTGAGATAGGGTGACTGCAGGGGTATCTTTGGCAGTGTCAACACCTCCATGCTTGTGCACTTGAGAACATCCATTTCTTTCATGTAATTTCATGGGACTCAAGGATAAAGGCTCTAATTGTTCTGTGGTGCAGTTTATCCTTTAGAAGTTGAATTTTCTAATCCATACTGAGCATTCAAAGCAGCGTAGGTGAGTCAGCTTACAGCTGTTTGAGTTGACTTTGTAAATTAAAAGACAGCAATATTTTCTTTATAAAAAACCGTGTTAGAGCTGCAATAATTTCACATCCCTATCCACCTAGCTCAGGCCACAGGCTGCTTACAGGCTTGCTTAGTGAGGCACTATAGGGAGTGCATTTCTAGATGGTTATGTWATAGCACACCTTTGTGATGGACTGAAACAGATGGCCAAAGGCAGAGTGGTTTTAATCACCTGAGAAATACAAACCTTTCTAAGAAGTGGACTGCCTGGAGTGTTATGATGCTGTTGAAAATTGGAACGTATATATTTCAGTCATAACCGTATATATATTCAGAACGTATATATTTCAGTTCAGTTGGAACGTATATATAAACAGTCAGATTTGGGCCATTTCTTGATATTGGTCACAGTCTGTTAGGTAGCTCCCAAGTTCAAGTGTTTTTTCATATTGAAACATTAATACTCTTTTCAGACGCAGACAATCAAAATACATGTATAGTGAAACAGGCTGCTGCCCCCTAAAATGCTGCATTATTTAATGGTTTTTCCTTATGGTATCTCTACAACTTTTGATCRTGTCTTTAATATATTTCTGTGCACTTATATTTTAAAATCAGATGAAGATCTGAATGTCTGCTGTAATAATACGTAGGTTAGCAATTTTATTCTCATCAGTTTCCTGTTTTCAAATTTACAGACTGATAAGTTGTTGCAGTTGCATATACAGTGATAAACTTTAATATCTGACTTATTCTCTCTATCTCTACCTTATCATGTGACCTTATCTTTTTCTTTATCTGAATAAGTCAGGGTAAACATTATGGAAATATTATAAAAAGTCATATGACTTGTCTTTATTCTCAACAGATGATSATATTTAAATAGAAGTGCCATAAAGAAGGAAACTGGTATCCTGACTGGTTTTGTGTCTTGTTTCTGGTGTTGGTTAACAGGAAAAAGGACTGCATAATGTTACATGTATTCAAATAGTAAGTGGTGGAAAGATCTTTCTTTCCCTCAGGTATTGTATGCCTGTATGGACTGTATCATGACTAATTTTAAGTCTTGCAATCATAATTTATTGTATATGCTTATCACTAGAGAGAGCCTAATTATTTCCCTGGTCAGTGTATTTGTCCTTACAGGATCTCTGAGGTAGACAGGTACCAATAAGTAAAATAAATGTCCTGACTTAGGAACAGGAAGTCCATGGCCCTGGGGCTGAAGACAAGTGCTTCACATCCTAGCCTAGAGCCTTAGTCATCAAGTTCTTAATTACAGTCTCAGTGATGTCTTGCAATCTAAAACATACTCTCGAGAATCAGTCCTTTTCTCACTTTGTACTCTTATGTCATCAGAAATTGTGATAGTAGGAAAAAAGGTGGTGGGTTAAAATCAGTTAATTAAGATTAGTTGATTACGTTTTATGTCAAACCCTGTCCTCATTCCYATGAATTTGAACGGAGTGCTGCAAAACAGGAAGCAATTCTTTCTGTTAACTGTTTTCTGTACTGAGGGTGCTATTTTCACTTTCACCATTTGGTGTCTCTCGAGATGCATAATTCTGCAATATTTCATCTGAGGAGCATGGTAAAGTTTGGAGCTGTCTCAGAAAAATCCTAGGTGAAGCCTGTGTTAAGCCTCCTTTTGCAGGTTTGCAGCAAGAACTTGGACAACACTGAGATTTCTTTTCTTCTTTTCCTAATTTGCCATTTGATATGCTGTCACATAAGTCTTGATTCATTAAAATTTTAGAAATACAGGARTAATGTTTCTGTGATGTTCTCAGGTCTGCAAAACTATGCAACCCAGAAAAGCTTTTCTTTCCTTTCCTGGCTGCAGATTTTTTTAGCCCCAATAGTTCATGACCCACTGCAGTCCTCCTTCTTTTTGCAATGCTTTGTGCTCTGAGACACCCAGTGCTGTCCTTCTGCCAGAGGATGAAGCRTAACAGTTGTTTTCCTCAAATATTTGTGCTGAGTTGCCACTTTATTCTATTTCTGAGGTTCTGTCCTGTTTTCCTAAAATCCAGACGCCACGTGAATGTTTCCAGCTTGTCATTCTCCTTTCCTTGGCCTCCACTATTCTGCTTCCTCCCTTACTCTGCTCTCACCCCTGTGCCCTTTCTTGGCAGAAAGGTGATATTGGTGCTGAGACYGGCTGCTGCGGTGCCTTGGGGAGGGCCTTCACCTGGCTGCTCCAGAAGAGAAACCAGATTCATGGCTTATGGTTAAACAGGTTGAGAATATGGGGTAGTCCCWGACCTCGGCGTCTCATCTGTTGATCTGAATGGCTGTTCTGGATTTTTTGTCCTGCAGATATTAAGGGCCTAGATCTAAAAATAATGTTCTTTTAAACCTCAGAAGTGCAGCAGTATTATAAAGAAATTCCTCACCAGGCCTTTGGAAATATCTGTGACCAATTCTAGTCCTAGAGCTGGTAGCATGAGGTATGAGATAGCAGCAATAAGCAGCGATTACCCTTTTTTCAGACTGATAATTTATTCCTGCAATTTAGTTTCTTATCTGTTAATCTATTTCTCATCTATTTTCTGTCAAGAAGTAGAAATCGGTAGCTGCTATTTCTGTAATAGTTGCTTGAGAAATATTTTTGTCAGAAGCCTTTAAAGAGTCTAACTTGTATCCAGCCATTGACAGTTAGTAACTGTTTTGTGTTTTTGGAATGAGTTTTAACAAGTTAGACAGGCAGTGGGTATTGTTGTGTTAAGTTTGTGGTCCCAATCGTATTTTGCTTATCTTGCTAGGTGGCTGATTCAGCTTAATTTGCAGCTCACATTTACATCTCTTTATTTTTTCTTTTGGGGAAGTCATAAAACATCTTTGCTATTTCAGGAATTATTTTGGCAGTGGCTGTATGACTTTGTAAGACTTTGTGCTAGCAACATAATTTTAGTGGATGAAGTTATAAAAACAAAACAGAATACTCAAAAAAAAAGAGATTAGATTGGACGAATTAAAATGCCTCCTGGCAAAAATGGYAGACCCTAAATCAGTCACTGTAATCCAATGCTGAGTTTGTACATTTATTCAAGTGGTTTTGATGGAATTCCATAAACTGAACAGTGGTTTTATTTTTTTTTCCAATCTATAAGACAGATTTCTTGAGCTCTACACATTCTACAGCCATGGGTTCACTCTGTTCCTGAAGAAGTGCAGTCAGCAGTGGCTTCTGTATCGTTTAAGTGGAAACCTCAAGGGGCTGTATTCCCATTTCTATACTAAACTCAACAGGTTTATTCCATTTAACATAGTAWCTCGTTTTTGGAAAGGAGTGGCAAGCTGCAGCTTGTGGAGGGTGTTCTGAGTGCCATGRGCTCATTGCGGGAGGCTT